TAAACAGTTCAATTTGCCTAGCATAAGCCACAAGAGCGCGTTGAAGTTGCGCTTATTTACAACTTTCGTGATTAGAAAAACGCCATCTTGGATATGACGTCAGTTATGACTTAACAATAATAATATGTATTACTTCTATGGTGCCTTTTCTATACTGTGTTCAAAAGTGCATCACAATAATATATAACTTAATAATTAAACTTACACCTCTATTATAAATCTTACAAATCTTTCAATAAAGCTTACAAACTATTTTCGTTTAAAATCTATCATAGAATAACAAGAACTCTAGAAGAACTTCTAAAATATTAATGGACAAACGAAAATTTCGAAGAGAAGTGAAACTATTCCTTGTATAGAAATGTTTTAATCATAGTATTAAAATATTCTAAGTTCCCTGCTTCCCGTGCATTCTTAGGTAACTTGTTCCATAGAAGGGGAGCAGCTATCTGGGAATTGCTCTATCACCCATTGTTTTCTTCGTTTTCGCAATTGGTCTTTCAAGCAAGGGACCATTGTATGTCTTAAGCTATAGCACGAAGGCTGTTGAATGCTAATTAAGTTTGGAAGGTACTTAGGCGCATGACCACGCAAAATTTTATAAGTTATAAAAGTATCTATAATGTATTCTGCTGCGCACTGGTAACCAATGTAATTCTGCAAGCAGAGGTGTTACGTGAGAGAACTTGAGTACGCGATAAATAAGTCTTGCACTTACATTCAAAACACGCTGCAGTTTCCTAGTTTGATACTCTGGGATTCCATGTAAAAAGCTATTACATTAGTCCAATCTACTACTAATAAAATCATGAACTAGTTTTTCAGCTGATTCTATGGATAGATATATTTTCTAATATGACGTATGTTATACAATAGTCAATATAGTAGCAATAGTCGACCTATGTTTGACGCTTTGTGCTCGTTGAAATTTTCAACCTTTGTAAGGAAAAATTGTAATAGTTGAACCATGATTGACTTCCTTGTGGTTAAAAGTCAAAACACATACTAAAATTCAAAAGGAAAAGGTGTAAGTGAAATATTAAAGA